CTTAGTTGTCAGTGTTTTCTATGGTCTGTCCTCAGCCCTGTTCTCTTACCTTCCCTCTCTTTTCTTTCCCTCCTCTCTCCCCTTGTTTCTCTCCTCTTCATTCTTGTTTTCTTTTCTCATTCATCTCATGAACTTTTCCTATTCATCTCATTTTTTCATGCAATCTCATTCTCACCTATGTTGATGGTCCATGCATTTCCATTTCTATCCCAAAAAAATACACAACTGCCTCCTGAATTTCTTCTCATGAATAATCCATAGGTACCTTATACTCAATGTGTTAAAAACTTCTCAGATATGTTTCTCCTTCTATGTCCCCTATCTTAGTAAAGAAATAGCACAACCATACTCTCGGCTGTCCAAGCCATAAATTTAGAGGAAGATTTTTAGCTCCTTCATTTTCCTTATTATCTATGGTCTTACCAAAATTAGCTCATATCAAAATTACCACATCTTTTAGATTCTGACTCTGAAGAAGACTTAAATACATATAGTTCTCTCTAACTCTATTATCTCTCTCAGACATACTTCTATAAGCTCCTACCTAAATGACTGTAACCACTTCCTAACTAGTCCCCTTCCTTCTGGTCTTGCATTTATCACTCCATCTTTGCCCTGCCAACATCCCCTCCACTCACTGCAAACACATGCTTATTATCTATTCTTCACCTGTAGTGATAGTTTTTAATATGACACTGTCAATCTTCTGATCAAATCCTTCGATGGGTCTCCCTTTTACTTTTGGATAAAGTGCAAATTGTTCAATATGGCTTCCAAGTTTCTACATGTTTCATTCCCGCTAATTTCTCTGGCCTCGTCCTGAAGCTCTTCTCCATTCTAATTTTCCTGATAATGGTTTCCCAAATTTGTCATCCTTTCTCTTCTCCAGGTCTTTTTGTATTTCTCTCTTTTTCTTCCTTCCAGGAGTTCTGCTTCTACATTGTCCATGTGACCTTTTACTTGTTTTGATTGTCTTAGGTGTCTGCTTGTGTATACCATCCTACAAGCCTACCTGCTTGACCCCTTAAATTTGGGTTTGATGCCCCTCCTCTGTGTTCCCAGAGCACTCAGCACTCGCCTTCATAACAGCATTCAAAAAATGGGAAAAATACATCTACCTCAAGAATTATTGCAAAGGTCAAATGAACTCATAGTTGTGAAAAATCTTTATAAATAAATGAATCTTTAAATAATAGAAATTTTCATCTTTATTCCCAAAGGAGTTGACTGCCTTTAGTCTCTGGCAAAGGCACATCTCTGCTGGGAATGGTTACGAGAAACATGGTAATTATTCTCAAATTGTTCTTCACCAGAAATTTGTTGCCTTGGTCTCCTGGGCTGTCAGCCTGGCTGGGAAAAAAGGAATACCTTTGTGGTTGCCTGGATCTGGTTTAAAAGAGAAAATATACCTCCTTCCCACTTCAGGGTTGAGTTTGCGACTTTTCTTCCTTTCCCAACTCTAAGCCTTTGGGAGGGAAAATGAAATATTAGTTCACACTCTGGAGGTGACAGTATTTGAATTTATCACTCCCAAGCTAGGTAAGGGCAGTACTTGTAGATTCCATTCAGCAGTGTGTGTGTTTGTGTGTGTGTGTGTATAGTCTACTACAAAATCTCATAGATTTGTGCTGGGAACTTTATATAATTTTGTTGTGTCATCTCGAATAGCTTAGGTAGATATAATAATCATAATTCCTTACAGTTTGTATTTCCTCTCTAGGAGAATGTTATCTCTTTCACAGTTTTGTTGACTATCTGGCCTGCATCCAAGCTATAGGCACAACCATCCAAGTTTAAAAGAAATAATGATCTGCATTTTTTGCAGATAATTGTAAACATGCCTATATGTAATTTTATATTATGTTCTTCCAAATATTGTATCATAAGCTTTTCATGAACTCATTTTATTGGCTACATGATATTATTTCCATGCATGAGAACT